CGTTGTTGGTAGTAGAAATTTGAATTCTAAAGGACAAGCTTTAGATAAGGTTACTTATTTAGATCGCCCTGTGCATAAGTTAATTGTAGTTGTCGAATCAGAAAATTAGCATTGAGATTTTTAGACCAGGGAAATCCCCACCAAGGGAGCCATTCGTTTAGTTTTATTTATAAGTTAAGATATAACTTGAACTTATTTAGTTAAGTGTTTTAGTGTCTATAAATAACTTTTTTGCATTTTGTAACGTATGAATACACAACTTCGCTTTTCGTTAAGGAAATTAAGAAGCATCTAATTTGGGGAGCCATGTAGCTGCTGTAGTATCCACCGATTCGAAGTCAACATTCACAGTGTGAATACGTGATTTTATTGCGATATCGAAGTATACATATTCGATTATTCCGTTTCCGGTTTTGATATTTTTCTTGAGTGCGCCAAAAGATTTGTTTGGGCTGCGAAATTTGCGTAATTACAAAGGCTCATGGAGGTATCATTAGTTTATTAATTGTATATCTGTTTCGTTTTCGGTGTAACTTTGTGTATTCCTTCGATAAGCTTATTCAAAATGATTATTTTGTATTTTTCAGTTTTCACGGCTTATTCGGCTTATTCGTCTTATCCGACTAGTATATATGGCTTAGTTTGGTTTATTGGAAGCCAGTATATTTAGTCAAGATAGATATGAATGTTATATTGTTTGAGTAAATGCGATGCGTCCTTTTTATACTTTTATAATAAACTGTTACATTGGTTATTTGTGTTCAACCTGATAAGCCCGTCGAGACCCATGTTGCTTTGCGTCATAATGCTCCGGAGGTAGACCGCCCAACTACTTAAAGAGACATTACAGTCCGAGATCTTATAGATTCCAATGTTCACACCAAGTTTCATCAGAATCGGATGAAAACTGTAGCTTCAATCCTGCTCACGAACAATTTTTAACAAATTTCAAGGCGTTCTAAGTCAAGGGCAATATCTCAAAAACCGTAGTCTATATAACCGTAAAAACTGTAGTCTCTATAGTGCTCACAAGAAATGTTGACAGACGGACCGACGGACAGGGGCGACGACAATATACGACCACATATTCATGTGGGCGTATAAAAAGGCTTGCCTTACGGCACAAGGATTCGTTCCTTACATAATAACCAGTATGAGATATTTATAGAAAGTTTACGGGGTAAAAATTGCCCAGGTTTTCAACGACAACGGCAATAATTCATATAATAGTTTTCAATTGTTTTAATTTTCAATCAGGATCATCCTTGGATGATAATTAACACATCAAGTTTCATCATAATCC